ATGGGAACATATGGGGAATCTTTTTATTTGTGTGTATTTATTTGTGTGTCCCTTGGCCCCTTCAATGGGGCTGGGCGAAGCGAGGATTTCATTGCCCGCAGAGGCGGCCGAACATGATGACTGTCCTCCTCACAACAATGATTCCCAGATTGCGCCAGCGCCACTCGTGACGTAACCAGGGGGAGGGGGAGGGGGCAGTCACGAGCGTCGTCGCGAGTAACAGAAAACAGGCTCTATTCGGCCAGGGCTGGGACAAGGATACCTCCGTTCCAGAGCGTTCCGGAGCGCTCTCGGAGCGTTCTGGAACGCTCTGAGGAGGCCGCGGCGCCCGAGACATCCTCTAGAGCCGCTGGAGCTTAGATCGGCGGCGAGCGTGGGGGGCGGGAAGTGCGGAGGAGCGGGCCTTCTCAGAAGACTGGGCAGTCCCCCGGCCTTCAGAGAGGTATTCTAAGTCTTCCCCGAAGATGCGGCACGCTTGCCAGAAGGCGCGAGGGCCTCTGAGAAGCCCCGCCGCCTTCTGAGAAGACCTCCTCCTTCTCGCACTTCCCCCCTCGCTCGCCGCCGATTCCAGAACCCGGCTCTACCCCCACCCGACGTTATCCTCGCTCAACGATTCAACAGCGACGAGGAGCCGTGCCTTCCTCCTGCTGCACCCGGCGAGAGAAGACGCGACGCGGCACGACAAGCAACAAAAGCTCGCCGACAGGACCTCGCCGACCCCCGGTGTGAAACCGCTGCCTGAGCCTGCTCCAGAGGAGGAGGAGGAGGAGGAGGAGGAGGAGGAGGAGGAGGTGGAGGAGGAGGAGGAGGAGGAGGAGGAAGAGGAGGAGGAGGAGGAGGAGGCAGGAGGACGAGGACGAGGACGAGGAGGAGGAGGAGGAGGAGGCCCAGCACTCGAGCCTTCGGGAGCCCGCCGCGCCGCGCGGCGGCCCCGCGCTCCGGGCCCCCCCCGCGGCGCTCCCGATGGCCCCGGCGGCCCGCGCCGGCGGGCGCGGCCTGGCGCCGCCGCCGCTGCTGCTGCTGCTGCTGCTGGCCGCGGGGGCCGCCGCGGAGGCCACGAGTCGGAGGTTCAGAGACGGGGCCCTGAGGGATGGGGTCGTCCTCCTCTCCCTGCTCCTCCTCCTCCTCCTCCTCCTCCTCCTCCTCCTCCTCCTCCTCCTCCTCCTCCATCTCCTCCTCCTCCTCCTCCGCGCAGAGGAGCCGTTCTGGCGCAGGTGTGCGCTTGCGGATTCTCTCTTCAGAACGGCAAGGAATCCGCGGGTCAATTTTGGCTTTCAACTTTCTCGTTCAATCTTTCTTCAGTCAGACTGACGTCCAATGGCCCCTGCAAGGGCGGCGGCGGCGGCGGGCAGGGCGCCTCCCCTCCGTGGCGCGGCGGCGGGTCCCAAGGCTGGCAGCAGCAGGACTGGAGCTACTACGACTACGGAGGCGCCCCGTGGTCGGGTGGCAAGGGCTACGGCACGGGCGGCAGGAGCGACTGCTGGAAGTGCGTGGCATGCGGGTGCGGCAAAACCACCGTCTGGGCTACCCACTGCAAGCACTGCGGTGCACCGAGGCAGGCACCTACCGCCGGCCACCATGCTCCTCCTCGCGGTGTGTGTGGTCTCATCAGCAGGGTCAGCCTCGCGTGCCTGGATATCACCCCCCAGGAGAGTGGTCTGCCCTCCCGCCTGGACCGCAGCTTGGCAGCGCAGCGCAAGGCACAGGCAGCGGCAGCCGAGGACAGGATGCTCCTTTGGACGCCAAGGAGCTCCAGATGCTGGTTGCACTGTCGCGCCGCGCAGGAGACCAAGCTACAGCTGCCAAGTACCAGGGCCAGCTGGACACCATGGCTGCGGCCGCGAAGCCACCGCCAAAGGCCTTGCAGGACCAGGTCAGCGACCTTCATCATCGCATCAAGAAGCTCGACGGCAGGCTCGAGGCCGAGTTGGCGAAGCTGGCGCGGTGGCAGGATGGCATCAGGGCTCAGGAAATTCTCATCCACGACCTGTCGAAGCAATCCGAGGCCATGGTCACGGAACATCGGCAACTGGTGGCACAGCTTCACAGTGCAGTGGTTCCTCCTTCGGCCGACACCGAGCCCACACCTGGGCCCACCCTGTCCCTTCGAGACCTCGTGGACGGACGCGTATCCAACATCGTCATCGACGACGGCGGCCTCTTCTCAGTCGATGCCGACGGCATGGAGGATTCAGATCTACAAGAGGTGGAACGACGTCGGGCAGATTTCAAGGAGCACATCGGCAAGGCAGCCAAGGCCCTCTTCGCGGAAGCGATGGAGCGTGCGGCAGTTGCCAAAGCCGAGCACGACGGGCACCTCAAGCGCATGGCCACCAAGCGCAGGAAGGGCTGCGATGGCGCCGCGTCGGCGGGAGGCGGAGCTCGCGAAGGAGGCGCAGATGCAGCTGGGCCACACGCTGGCGGCGCCCGCGGCAGCGGTGACGCGACATCCAGCGACGTCAGCCAGCCCGCTGCCCCAGTCAGCCGAGTTCGTGAACAGGCGGCGCGCATTGCTGAGAGAGTTCAGCAGCAGCAGGCGGCGACAGATAGCAGCGGCACGGGTGAGCGGCACAGCGAGCAGCACAATCAGAGCCCCCCTGACGGTCAGCAGCAGGCCTGAAAGGGGGGAGAGTTTACTTTTCTTTGCTTGCAACACCAGACAGGTGTGACAGTTCGGTTTTTCGGAGGGAGGTCGACGGCCTGCACAGGCTGTCAGGACCCCTCCTCCTCGTGCCCAACTTCTTCCCGTTTCGCTTCGAAATATTTGTCATAGCGCGCCAGCAAGGGTTCAGACCCTTTCGGAGCCAGGGCACTCGTGCGCTTCTCTTGGAAGCCCCTTTTTGCCTCCGCCACCTCCAGGCTACCAGTCGTTCCGTCTCAGGGTCGTGTCGATTAATGGTAATGCCTGGGGGTCGGTGAAAGAGTGGCTCCCCAGCGTAGATGCAGAAGTCCTTCTAGTCCAAGATCACAAGCTTTTGTCTCGAGAGGCTCTGGATAGATCTTCCTCTGTGTGTCTCGGCCTCGGTTTCAAATCACTTTGGATCCCTGGCGCGACTGGGCCTGAAGGCGGCCCTTCGGCTGGAGTGTCTGTCCTGTGTCGCGCGAATCTTGGGCTTCATCTGGCGCCCTCGGGGCTCGAGCTGGCTCCCCATAGGGCCATCGCGGTCTTGGTTCACGCGCCCCAAGGGGACGTGCTTCAAGTTTGTTCGGCGTATATGCGCGACTCGGAAGGGCTCTCAGAAGCCAACCTCGAAATACTGTCGGCGATAGGGGCGGAAAGGGTCCACCCGCGGGAAACCATTCCTTGTCGGGGGGGATTGGGACATGGAGCCCTCCGAACTCGCCAAGTCTCATTTCGTGAGCACCCTGGTTGGTCAAGTCATCGACCCCGACAAGCCTACTTGCCACGCTGGCGCGGGCAAAGTTTACGACTACTTCGTTGCATCTGCTGGGCTCTCCAAGGGCGCCGCCGAGGTTCGCATCCTCGAGGGCGCTGGCTTCTTTCCTCGCAACCCAGTCTGCCTCGACTTTCATGCAGGACTGGCCCAGATGCACTACCTCGCTTTCAGACGCCCGCCTCCGCTCCCATCGGAAGTGCCGCACGGTCCCCAGCCTGAGCCGATGGACTTTACACGCGTGCATGCTCAGCTGGACGCGGCGTTCATTCGTGCAAAGCGTGGGGGCGATGGGGTCTTGACTTCCCGCCTATTTCGTGAAGCTTACGCATCTTGGGCGGGCCTTGCTGAACGGGAACTCTCAAGGACTTTCGGGATTCAACTTCCAGTTTTGGGGTCTAGGGGCAAGGGGCCCAAGACTCATTGGAGGCCGATCCTCAGCAAAGATCACGGTTGTGTTCGGCACCCGCAGCTCCACGCCAGTCGCTGGCTCGCTTCGAAGTTCAAGCGTCGCCTCAGGCTCGGGACGTGGGGCGCTTGTTGTCGTCTCCTCCCCCCAGTTTGTGCAGGCCCGACAACCTGTTCCCTGGGATGGAAGTTGTTTTGAAAAGCGTTTCCTCGGTGATCTCGGACCTCAAGGTTTTGGAAGACCTTTTGGAGGGGTCGGGCTCTGATCCTAGCTTCCTGGAGGCTCAGGAGGTTTTGTTAGCCCAAGTCGAAGAGGTCTCGATTCAGGTTACCGGCTTTGTCTCTCAGTGCAGCGCCTTCTACGCGGCCATGGCCAGACGAGATTGGGCTGACTGGCTCACTGAGAATGTCGATCAGGGTGGCCGCAGAGCGCACGGCTACACGAAAGACCCTCGAGGATGGCCGCCCTCTACTACGCTCAGTGCAAGAGGCTGTGTGGTGTCGGACCCGCAGGCGCTCCTTGCCGCCGAAGCTGATCGTTTTCGCTCCTTGTGGGAAGGGCTGCCACTACCTCAGAAAAGGCCAGGGAAAGTGAATGCCCCCCTCCCTTGTATCTCGGTGGAAACCATTCGTAAGGTTTCTCGCACTTTTGCCCACAGGTCTGCCACAGGCTTGGATGGGTTTCACATGAGACACTTGTCGGTGCTGCCCGACGGGGCTTTATTGGCCCTCTCGCGGTTTTTTCACGCTTATGGAACTCACGGGCACCCTTCCCCCTCAGCTGGAGGCTGTGATTATCGCTATGCTGCCGAAGCCCTCCACTGGTTTCCGCCCCATCGGGGTTTTCCCCAGTCTGCACAGATTATGGGGGAAATGTAAGAGAGACTACGCGGTGGAGTGGTGAGGGAAACGCCAGAGAGAGCACTGGGCGGCGGGAAAATTCAAGTCTGCGAGCGATGTTGTTTGGCGGCAGGCCGCCCGTTCGGAATCCTCCCGAGCCTGCGGGCAGCAGGCCTGTACTCTCCTCTGGGACTTTACCAAGTATTACGAGCGCATCCCTCTCGAACTCCTGGCACTGCGATGCAGGCAACATGGTTTCCCTGGTGCGCTCACCGATGTGTGCATGGCGGGATGCCGTTCTGCCCGCTTCCTGGTGCTAGCTGGAGTGCTGGCGCCCCCTACCTACGCGAGAGTTGGAATCATAGCGGGGTGTAGTTTCGCCACCACTATGATCATAATATTTGCCCTGCGTGGTTTCGATCAGCTGGAGGTCCCCAAGGGAATCACGTTTGATGCTTACATTGACGACCTTGGGATTAATGCGATCGGGACTGCTCGACACATCATGACAGAACTCCCGAGAGCGGCCAAGTCCCTCGAGGAGATCATCGACAATGTATTTTTTTTGCGCAAGTCTCCCCTGGCAAAGTCGGGCTGGTCGCATCGCCCAAGGAAATCGCCAGGCATGTCCAGAAACGTCTGGGGGGGCTTGGAGGAGATTTCACTGGGTCGTTCGTCAACTTGGGGATTGATGACACTGCAGGCGGTGCCATGCGCGTCCGAGGGCGCAGCAGCAGAGCGAAGGCGCGCTTTGCGAGAGCCTCTAGGCGTGCAGACAGGCTGGCTCGTCAAAGAGGAGTTCTAGGACCGAGGGCTACCAAGCTTTGCTCGGCTGGACCTCTGGCGGGTTTGAATTATGGGGCGGAGGTTCACGGAGTCAGTGATGGAGAGTTAACCACAGTTAGACGTCTGTGTGCCTCCACGATGAAGCCTGCCTGTGGCGGCCGAAGTCTAACCATTCCAGTAGGATCGAAGGCGATCCCGCTTGGTGGGGTGCTGTGGCGCCAGCCCTTCGGTGGGCCAAGGAAGTCTGGGCTCGCGCCACGAGGGTCACGGATTTTTTTTCCTGGGCGGAGCTCCGAAGCATGTGGCACGATGTGTTCGGGCGTTCTTGGACCTGGCGTACCGTGAGCGTTCCTATCGGGGCCATGAAGCTTTCCTTGGCTCGCCTGGGATGGAGTATGTCCTCGCCTTTTGTAAGGATCAGCGACCTTGGGGTCGAGCATTCCCTCACTCTCACTCCTCCCTCCCTCCTTCAGGTTTTTCTCCAAGAAGGGGTTTGGCCATCGTTGGAGAGGGAAGCGGCCCGCAAGTGCGGCCCTGATGGGGTCGAGTCTTTATGTTTTGACGTCGTCGCAAAAGCCCTGCGTTCGAAGAAGTTTACGGCTCGCCAAAAAAGAACGATCCGTTGTTGTGCTTGTCAAGGAATCTGGCCCTACGCCCGCGCTCGAGCAGCAGGTTACGAAGTCGATGATCGTTGCCCGCTGTGCCTTCAGCTTGGAGACACGATCTTTCATCGGCTGTATGCTTGTACTGCAGTGGAGGAGGAGAGGAGGGCGGTGATCCCTGACAGAGCTCTCGAGCAGGTGTTGAGGAAGTTTGCGGCGGTTCCTGAGAAAGAGCGTTTCCATCTTACCTCTGGCTTGTTTGGCCACCCCCAGCGTGTGCTCCCGCCCCCTAAGTCCGACAGTAAATCTGAGGAGGAGGATGGTATTCAGTTTCAGTTTTTTTTTTCCCGACGGCTTCGCTGCGGAAGGCATGGAGCTGCCCCGCGATGGCCGACGACAGATGTGGGGCCACGTATTTTTAGACGGCTCGTGCTCTCGCCAGGTAGTTCGCAGTTCGAATCGTGCTGGATGGGGCTTGGCTATGATAGGCCCTCGGTCGAACCTCCTGGCGTGGTGTTGGGGGCCTGTCTGGGATAGCTGCCCTCAGACGCCACAGGCTGGAGAATTTTCGGCATATGCTATGGCTTGCGCGCTCCTGTCCGCGCCAGCAATTCTTTATTCCGATTGCCAAAATGTTGTTTCGATGCACGGCGTGGCCCGACACGAGCAACTTTCCCCCGAGCGTCCATATTCGGGGCTGTTGACGCAGGGTCGTTCTCTGGGGGGAAAATGGACGCTTGGATGTGTGAAAGTGCCCGCTCACCTTTCAATCGATGATCCCGAGATCGACGATGATGAACGGTTTCGGAGGATCGGAAATGACTTCGCCGACAGGGCTGCCAAGTTGGGGGCTGACTCCCACCAGGCGCCGTCGGAAGAGGTAGCCAACGAATGCACTGCCCTCGTTAATTCGGCTCTCATGGCGGTCAAGCTGTGCGCCGCGCTGCTGCCTCTCTGGCCGCGCACGGACCTCTCCCGTGCCGTGTGGTCTGCGCCTGCTCCTTCCTCTCGCACTCCTGTTACGCCCCATAGGTGGGAGTGGCTGGGTCCGCCAGGAGGGGATCAGCGTTTTTGGAGCTGCCAAGGGTGCCTCAGGACGTCACGCAATGCCGCTGACAAAGCTCCAGCCCCTGGCCACTGTTCTGTATCTTTGAGAGTTGACGTTCGGCGGCTTAGAGATTTAAACCACAAGTGTATCCTCCTGGATTGTTCGAACGGGTCGTTTGTCGTCGTTTGTACTGTGTGCCAGAGATACACTAGTGGTGCCCGTTTAGCAGGTCTCAACAAAACTTGTCCAGGTCAGAAAGCTTCAGCATACAACTCTGACGCTTGGAACAAAATCTGTAAGGGACTCCATCCGAAAGCGAAAGGAGTAACCTTACTGTCAGACACTTACAGTGTGCTTTAAGCATGCAGCGGGAGCCAAGGTGCTCAAACAAAAATCCTCCGCGCAGAGGGGAGTAGGAGGA